TGCTGCGGCAGAGTTCGGTGGGTTTCTCCCTCACCAAAGGTGCTGTCTGTGCTTGCCCCATAGGACGGATGTGCCGGGGCCTGGCAGCATCCCGGCACCTGGGCGCTACCGGAACTGGAACCCACCGCTCCTGGGCAACCTCCCTGAGGATTTCCTCCGCATCCTGCCCCAGCAGACCGCCGGCGCACAGGTGAGGCTTGCTGCCCCTTCTAGCCCGTGCCCCAGCTCCCCGGGGTGGGATGGGGGCCCCAAAAAAAAACAGCCACCCTGAGCTTGCAGCGTCAGTGCTCTGAAAGCATCTGGGTCCTGGGTGCAGACTAAACAGAAAGTCTTGGAGCGCATGTTGTTGCTCAAGGCGAAACTGAAGTGAGCAAGGTGCGAAAGGGGAATCTTCCAGCAAGGTTTTGATGTTTTTCCTGCCATTAGCCCAGCGATTAGTGCCAGAAATGCCACTTGCAATAAGCACCTAATATTTAAAACTATTTTAAAATATATTACCTGCTACCCTCGTGAGGAGCAGCAGGACCGGCACATGCTCTTGGGGCGAGCGGCACTGCCAGGGCGCTTGGGGGCTGGGACAGTGCGACTTGGGTGGAAAATCTAGGGCAAACCAGAGGATTTGCCCCTGGGAAATCAGAGACCCCACGTGCTTTGTGGCGGGGTTTTAGGGAACAGGGCCTGGGGTGCAGGGGCGTTTAAAAACCCGCAGCTGGGCGGGCAGCGCGCAGCGCCTTGGGGGGAACGAGCAGCCCCAGCACCAACCGCACTGGGGACCCAGCTCAGCTCCAGGCACGCCGCATCTCCGGGGCGTCCCTCGGCCCCTTTGCTAACATGGGAGTCAGCCCACAAACAGCTTGCCATGGCTTGGCAAGGGCCTGGGGGGCTGCAGGCACCTTGCCTTCCCCATGCATTGGCTCCTCCCTCCCTTTTTGGCTCCAAAGGCAGCCTGCCACGTTTTCATAAATGATTGCCCTGCAAGTTGAGCTTCACGGGCTATATTACCTTTCTGGGAATAGGAACATGCCAATTCATTTGGGCTCAGGGGGAGGAGAGGAGCAGCTGCCCTTTTCTTTCCCCGGTAATTGTGTGCTTTTGCTTTTTATGGCTCTCTCAGAGCAGCTACAAATCAGACAAATATTGCAGGCGAGGATAAGGTTGCGGCTGTGCAGCGTGGCTCTGCTGCTCCCCGGGTGCAACTGCACCGGGAGCCGGGGGAGAGTGTGAGGTGCCTCGCGCATGGACATTTGTCAGCGGGAAATTGCAGTCTCTGCTTTTTAGATGGAGGAAATAAAAACAGCGGTGCTGGCTGAGACCCTTCTCCCTTGCCTCCACACCAGGTTCTGTCTTGGCTCAACCCCACGGTTTAAAGTTAAAAATCTTTGCCAGTCTGCGCTGTGCAAAGGAGCTCTTCTGGAGGCACCAATTCTTCCCTGTGCCACGCTGACCCCAGACCGAGAGGTCCCCGTTCCCATGTGGGATGTCCGTCCCCTCCTGCCTCCGCCCCGTCCCCCTTCCCGCCGGGCAGAGGTGGGGGTCCCCTGTCCCCCTTTGTCCCCTTTGCAGCAGCACCGTCCCGAGCACAGCCCGGCTGGCGGGAACAGTGCCCGGGGCTGTCGAGCACTGGGTGCAGGAGGGAGGGACCCCGCTGGGGAGCATCACTCGATGGCCTTTGGGCCTGGGGCTGCAGCAGCGTAACGGAGGAGCAAAAGGCCAAGCTCAGCCTGAGGCGCTGCTGCAGAGAGCCTCCTGCACACACCGGTGCGGGCACCCAGACCACTGACCAACCTCTGCCGTGTTTGCCTCCTG